TCAGCCTGCTTTTATTAAGGATTATTAAATTTGTATAGCGAACACGATGTTCAAAAAAGTATATTGGAGTCATGGTCCACACCCAACAAGAAATGGGCCATTTTGGATCAAAGATACCATTTTCTTTTTTTAGGTCATGACATATCTGAGGGAAGGGCTTTTTTTTTTCTTTAAGACATAGACTTCAGATTCACTTTGCATGGACTATAATTCATAGCAAATTAAAAGTTATCAAAATTATTATTCTACATGGGAGCATGTGGGCGTGGCTAAGCATCAAACTGTTAACTCCAGTCATCCAAAGCCATGCTTTTAGGAGGAGGAGAAGGATAGTGAGGATGAGAAACAAACAGCAGTAGGAGATGCAGTGAGAGCAGCAGCAGGAAGAAAAAATATGCAGACAAGGAGCACAGGGGGAGGAGGATGATTAGGATGAGAAACAGCAGAAGGAGAATGGAGGAGGATTAAATGAAGCAGGATAAGGAGGATGAAGAGGATCAGGAGAAGCAGCAGTAGGCAGGGGATAAAGAGAAAGAGCATCAGCAGGATGAGGAGAAGGAGATGCAGCAAGAGCGACAGCAGGATGAGAAGGAGATACAGCAAGAGTGACAGCAGGAGGAGAAGGAGACACAGGAAGATAAGCAGAAGCAGGAGGATGATGAGGAGAAGCTCCATTAGCAGGAGGATGAGGAAGATGAGGAGAAGCTGGAGGAGGAGGGGGATGAGAAACAGTGGCAGCAGCAGAACGAGAAGGAGGGGGAGGATAAGAGAAGCAGCAGCAGGCATAGGCTGAAGAGCAGGAGCATAGGATGGGAAGGAGCGTGGAGGTGGAGGTCGCTTGGTTCCCGCGGTCGCGACATACCAGGCGGTGCGAGCTGCGAGGGCCGCCCAATGCCACTTGTGGCTTTAATTAGGATTTTCTTTTCTATTATTTAGCATGGAAAACAAAAATAAAACAACAACTTTGACTAATTGTGTTTTAGAGATCTGATGCATGATTATCTCTTGCTTTAGCATTAATTGAAAAAAGATATTGCAGCATAAGTTTGAAGTTTTGATCACCAAGTTTTATTGTAAACTTAAATATTTATTCTACATTTTCATGTATAGTATTGTGTTTTTTATGTTATCTTTACTATTACAAAACGTTATTGTTAGAAAAATGTCTTTAGCTGCCTTAAATCAGTTGATTCTGCTGTAACAGTCTTCATTGAAATTAACCATAAGCAGAAATCCATTCAGCCCAAATGAATCCTGGGAAAATCTTTGAATTTCAGATTAGTGAGTGCGTGGAAGGGACATGGTGGACTATTACAGTGTCCTGGGAGTCCCCCGGAATGCCTCTCAAGATGAAATCAAGAAGGCGTAAGTACCACAAGATCATTTTATTCAATGATTTATAAAGCTATTTAAAACATCCCAATAAGGAGAGAAAATGTAATTAAAATTAAACTTTATGAAAAGGCTTAAAAAAATTTGCAAAAAAAAAAAAAAATTATTAAAAGAAACAATTTAAGCCTTTCTATACTATAGTGATATCACAGAGGTTCAAAGGAAGCTGATTAATAGCTCTTTGGTATAATCACGTTTTTACAAAAACTACCAGTGTCACTATTTGGTGTTGGATTGAGGCAAGTAGGCAGAGGTGAATTTAGGTGGGTTTAATGAGGTCCACTGGTACAGAGGCAGGAATCAAAAAATCCAACAAAAATAACAAACAAACCAGAACCAAGAAGACATCAGGGGAAACCAAACTTTAGGAGCCAGGGAGAGATGAGGTAAGCAGACAGACGTTAGACGAGGATCCAGCAAACAGGAACTGAAGAGGGAGGGCTTTTAAAGGGGACAGAGACAAAGAGAGGGCTAACGAGAGGATTGGAAACAGGTGAGGACAGAGCAGAAAACAGAGCTAGGGAAAGAGGACACAAGAGGGCAGCAGAGGACAACAAATGGAAAACCTGGAAGACAGGAACTAACAAGAAAACAACAAAATAATAATTAAACACTAAAACAAGGAGCAAAGTAAAACTGAATACTCTAAATAAACATAACAAAACCAAGACTGTGACAACCAGGTCATTTAGGTTTGACAAACTTAAAAGATTTGTTTAATTCTTTGTTTTAATTTCAAAAATATGAGTAAATGATGCACACATTTTTTTTGTAAAGACTAGAAATATATGGGCAGAAACCTCTATGATCAGAATTTAAATTGCCCAGAGTAAACCTATATATGGAAAATTTGAAATGAAATATACTGGTTAGAATTACATTGTATTTTATTGCATTGAAAAATTCAGACAAATTTAACCTTCAGTTCTACAATTCAATTTCAGTTCTGAATTATTTGTGCTCCACATCTGTGTCCTTGAGAAAAACCAGAGTAACTGAACACAGATTCGCATAATTTCACATGACTAGCAGCAAAATGTTCAGGTTTGCATTAAATTTATTACACGCATAAAAAATGCCAGGTAAACAAATGTCACTACATGTTACTGTTGATACAATAGATTAGCTGTTGTGTTATCACGTCATACAACCCACGAGTTTGACACATGGTCCAAGGATGTGGAGCCACAAGGGGAACTATACTGAAGATGCACAACCTGTTGTACTATGCTAATCTACCATCTTAAACTATCAGCAACAAGTAGCATAGCTGTTACAGTTAGCCCAGCTATGTAACAAATGTTATACAGTCCTTAGCATATTGCTGCTTGTCAATTGTTATAATGCAGTGAATCCACCAAGCTACCACTTCTCCAGGTCTAAGCAGTCACATGGCTTCACCTTAAGCACAATGTCAACCTGGGTTTGATTACTCTGGTCTTTCTCAAGGACCCAGATGCGTGGCCAGGGAAAAAAAAGCAGACTTTATAAAATTAGTAGAACCTAATTTCATTTCTAAATTTCAATTAATTTTACCTTCTACAGCAAGTGAAAATGAAATTTGTCAAAACTTAGTTTTAAATACACTGAAGTACAGTTCCAGAGAAAAGTAATTCAGATTAAAATCACGACCTTTTTCAAATAACTGTATTATATAATTGGAAAGAAAATTCACATTATTAAATACAGTTTAAATTTGGTGAAATTCACTTTCAACCCAATAGATTTTGATTTGAAGTTCCCAAAGATACACTCTGGGTAATTCAAACTCAGTTTCTGATGGCAAAAGTTTCTGTTACAGATGAGCACCCACCATTATACATTTTAATAAATTAGTTTGGCCATAGAAAGTATTGTGTAAAATAATTAGTATATAAAAAAAACAAACAGTTTTTCTCTGTTTACTATTTTTTTCCTTTCCTGTTCTTTAACATTGATGAGATGTGTTAGGTGTAGACAGTACAGAATATGATCTGAATGTGATGTTTATATTTGATAATAATTGTTTTTGCAACTCTGGGTGAAGGTACCGGAAACTGGCTCTGAAATGGCATCCAGATAAAAATCCGGACAACAAGGAAGAGGCAGAGAAGAAGTTTAAAGAACTTGCAGAGGCCTATGAAGTTCTGTCTGACAGTAAGTCCCAATTTAAATATTTGTGTCGCTGAGTTGTTAATGCTCTACAAACCTTTTTTTTTTTTTTTTCACATAAGATATATCTTTTCGTATAAAAACAAAAGCTATTTTATTGACATGGAGGGTTATGCCACCTCTGTTTTTGTGATTTATCAGCTTACAACTAGTGTCAACCTGTGTTGAAAATGTTATTTAAAAAAATGACTTCTAATTGGTTCTACTGTTTTTTTCCTCTTTACCAGAGAGCAGACGCGATGCATATGACAGATATGGAAACGACAAAATGCCACACTCAGGTAATTACACTAAGGCACATACAAGATCAGTGGTTATTATGTACTTTGGAATACAGTAGTTTGTATCTAAAAATTGTACAATTTTTCCCCAGTTATTAATTTTTGAAAATATCCATTTACTCTGACATCTACTTTTCTCAGGTTCCTCCACCGCAGATTTCTCAGACCTCTCAGGATTTACCTTCACATTCCGCAGCCCAGACGAGGTGTTCAGAGAGTTTTTTGGTGGACAGGATCCTTTTGCTAGCCTTTTTGGTATGGTAAACAGCTTTATCTTTTGATTTTATACCTTTTCAAATTTTCTTTCCAATTATATAATTCATTTAGACCTATTAAAGGGTCATTAAAGTAGGGGACTCGTCTGTAGTGAAAAGCATAGTTTTTATAAATCATAATTTCTTTCCTAAACATCTTTCCTTCCATATTTCTGCACTGATGCTAACATAACTGTGTATCTCTCCAGATGACTTTGCTTCATTCGGAGTCCCTCAGTCTCGCCTGGGCCCCAGTCGATTCTTCTCTTTTCCCTCAGCTGGAGGTAAAAACATAATTCCTTAAAAAGTTATCAACATTAAGATATTTCATGATAACTTTCCAGTGAGTCTATCTACATAACTGTAGTTTGTATAAAAGTAGGTTAATCCTTAAAAGGCAGTGGGATTGAATTTAATAACATTGTTATTATGACACACCTCTTACTTAGCCAGTGTTCTGGATTACTGAAGCAATTTTCTTACTTTATATCTTAATTTTCCAGCTACAGCAGCTTGTTGTTGGTTATATTCTGACGGTCTGCACAAATTAAATGTCATATTAACATTTCCTCTCATGTTTTCTAATCTATTCATTTTCTGCAGTTGGATTTAGCTCTTTTTCTACTTCCTTTGGTGGTTTGGATGCGATGGAGAGTATGGGAGGAGGAATGGGTAACTTCAAATCGGTTTCTACCTCTACTCGCATTGTAAATGGGAAACGCACCACCACTAAGAAGTATGTGAAAACCTTAACAGATAAAAAAGATTCAGCTGTTTAAATACATGACACACAAAAGTGAAGTAAAGCTTCACCATGTCCCTTCCACGCACTCACCAATCTGAAATTCAAAGATTTTCCCAGGATTAAGTATAAGCTAATGTTGGTCATTTTTAAGCTTATTAGTATCTTATTATATCAATACCGTGGTTAGTCTTTATGGTGTCCAAATGGTAGGAAAATATAAGATATTGGTAAATAACTGTTGTTGGTGATAAAGCGATTATTAATGTCAGACAGTGATATCTGTCCAGATTTTCATATTGTGCATCGATACAAAATTTCTTGGATCTAAAACTAATCCTTGTTTGTATTACTTGCAGGATAAAGGAGAACGGTCAGGAAAGGGTGGAGATTGAAGAAGATGGGGTATTAAAGCAGGTTCTTATTAATGGTAAGAAACTTTACAAAATGAAGTGCTGATAGATTTGAAATGCATCATTTCAGGTTTGTGTGAAAAATCCCTTCATTTTGAAGCTCAGGTAACATTTTTTTTTCATTTCACTATTTCTAAAAATGAATAATGCACATTTTGCGATGTTTAATCTGACCTTCAGAATATACCATTGATATTGCATTTCTGTAGATAAAGGCAGAGTATTTATCACCTCTGTTTCCTTAAGTCATTGCTATACGGCACGCATATTGGTAAGCTTCCTGAAACGAGACCTCAAACTTTGATTATTTTTATATTTAATGGGACATATACTGAACAATTATCAAAAAAAGCTCACATTTATTAGGGGGAACTTTATAAAGAATAAATATCCTGCTTACAGATGGGTGCACATCCTTGACTCTTATTTCAACATTTTGTGCTTTTGAGTTCACATCTGTCTTCAACTATAGTGAATTTATGACTTCAATTAAAAAATCCCTTGCAGGACAGTATAATCCCAGTATTCTTGAGTGAAAAAAAAAGGGAAAACCATACAATAATTATAGCCTTAAGAAAGTAAAGAACATGTGTTGATTAAAGGCAGCAGCTGTCAGTCAGTCTTAGGATAACGTGAGAGGCTGAGGCTTCTAACCAACGCTCCTAGTCTTTGTTCCAAAACAGAATAAACAAATCACAGAAACATTTAACCTTCAGTGAGCACTTTTTATGAAAGGTCACTGAGTCAGTGGCTTTGTGCCATTCTTGTAACGTGTTACCTAATAACGCGTTAGTGCCAACACCGACTACCAATCAAGTTGTAAACTAGATAATGTTATTGTGGTTACAACAGACAGGCCCTTTGGACATTTATGAGTTTGACTGAATATGTATTTCTGATTTCAGAAACAAACATTCAGCCAAGCTGATAAATATCGAAACGGCCAATTAAAATGTGTAAACATTTCTAGGTATCTGAAGCTTAATATCTACAGCACAATTTTGTTTTTTAAACATTCATAAATTCAGTTTTTGCTGACAAAAAATTAAATTAGAAATCTGTTATTACAGTTCTGACTATTTAAGTGATCTACAAATGTAGGAGGAGAACACTTTAAATAAATGTCAAAATGGCCTGCCATACTGGACTACATATAAACGTATTCATCATCAATTAACAACCTTCTCCAATGGAACCTCCCTCTACTCTGCAGCTGTAGAGCTGTAGCTCTTTCTTTTAAAAACATGTTCCAACTCTGCTGGTAAAGATTCTCAGTCATTCAGGTCATAGTCATTCCAAAAAGGTTAAGAAAATTAAAAAATAAACCACTGGAATTTTTTTCAAGTTTGAAGACATTTTGCTTCCCATCCAGGAAGCTTTCTCAATTCAAAATGTCTGGAGTAGCGTTTCATTTCCAGGCTTATAGAGTGGCCCAAACAAATGTTCCAAATCCCCATAAGCCTGCATTCAAATCTCTAGTTCCAGTGGTGTGACATGAGCAAACTTCCTCTGGCCTGTTGTTGTGGTGATTCATTCAATCAGGGCTCCACTGATGATGACTTTTAATAGTTGTTATGCACACACTTGACTCTTGAGTGGATGTGCTTAGGATTCATTAAACTAACTCCATACCAGCCGATGGGAAAGTAAAAAAATCAGTTTCCAACCTCAGGCTGGATCAATCCAGAATTATGGGTTTGAACAAAATATTGTTGAAACTGCAGTGTGAAACAGACCTCAGAGGTCTCTCTCTTAAAGCCCCGTCACATTCAGACACTCCACTACACCTTTAGTCCAGCTGGTGGCGCCAGTAAGAACACACAGCTAGTGTCCCCCTTTACTTTCAGTGTTGAACAGTTACCGTATAAGCAAATCCCTTAGCATAAAGTTTAAATAATTATTTGAACAACAGTCCTTTTCCACATATGCATTTCTGTTCACATGTTTGCTTCAGGCTTAGGTTTGTAGACAATAAAACTCTATTTACGTTAAATAGCACAAATCTTCTGAAATGCAAAGATTTCTCTAACTATGATGGTTAAAGTAGTGTTATTTGTTCAGCCATTGTTTATTCACTGCTATATATAACATTTAGACTAATATTATGTAATCAGGGATTCAGTTTGTTTTAATATGTGTTTAACAAACAGAGAAATGTCTTTATATGTGTTTTTCATAGGTGTGGAGGACGAAATGGCTCTTGCACTTGAGCTGAGTAGAAGAGAAGGACACCAGTCCGCTCAGAAACCACAGCTCCTGAATGGATCACCCTATCACTCCGACCGTCACAGCACTGCGCCTGCACATCGGTCATTTAGCGCAGCTCCCTTTTATAACCATGTGGATGACAGTGAGGATGAAGAAGAAGATGAAGACCTTCAGATGGCTTTGGCATGTAGCCTGTCAGAAATGGAAGGGCAGCAGCGAGCCGGTGCTACCAACTTCATACCAGGTGCTGTGGGCAGGGGCAGAACCAAACATACTAAAACTGGGGGCAACACAGTAGAAGGGCTTGTTAATGGACAAACTGTTCATCTGTCCAGTGCGTACAAAGTAGTTGGAGAGGGAAAAGGTGATGAGGGGCACTTTAAAGTTAGCACAAGTTCTGGAGCTAGCTCTGAAACAAAGCAGAATGGAACCAGAGAGCCAGCTACAGCTGCTCCCACTACACTGTCGACTGAAGAAAAGGTCAAACCAGTGGCAAAAACATCAGAAGGGAGTGTGAAAAAGAACAGGTGTGGGTGTGTTGTGTTATAGCATGGTCCATTGCATATCTAGGAAGGCTCCCCTTCCTCTTAGCATGGTGTCAGCTTACAGCCACAAATTATAGTACATGCAAAAATGATTCTTTACCTAAAGGTCTGGCAGCTGTTTGCTAACAGTATGCAATATTGAATTATGCACATAAGGTGATAAAAATATTTTTGAATTCTTACTTGCAAAAGAACAATGAATGATTGTTTTGAAATGGAGAGAATGTCTGAGTAGACAGGTGGAATGAGTAGGAACCTAGAAAATAACCGCTTTGAGTTTTTTTTAAAGTTTTTGCAGATTGTTAGAAATGGAGGTAAGTTTGGATTGAAGTCAGCTTTGGTTTCAGAGAGACGGTTTGAAATGCATCACTTCTAAGGTATAGCAGGTTGGTGTTATAGAGAAATAGATTGAACAGATCGGTTAGTTTAAAGAAAATGCCGAATCAAAGTAAAATGTATATGTGTGCCTCTCTCAGTGTATCTTTGAGAGTTTGAGTCTTTGAGAACCCTGCCACAAACTGTGCCAAACCCATGCCTGTCTCAAGCAAGTGATTCAAATCAAAAAGTATGTCACAAGGCTTTCAGTGGAAGTTCTTATCTTTGATTAAAGATGTCTTCTGTAAGTACCTGACCAACATTAATGGAAAATCTAGTTATTCAAAGCACACATTATGGAGTTAGGAATACTTTATATTTATGTACTGGTGCTGAATACATTTTTTAAGAACTGTGTTGTTAAATGTGCAGTGCCTTTAAAAAGTACACCCTGAACTGTTTTAGTTTTAATGTTTTCTAGACCTAGACTGGAAGGGACACGGCAATGCAAAGGATTGCTCTATTCAGATGAGACCAAAGTGTAATCTTTTGGCCAACAATTGAACCAGTGACTAAACTAAAGGTCACACCTTCTATTCCTAATATTCCTGTTTTTTCCACACTAGTGACCTTTGACAAGAGGTTAAAATCCTACATGAATTCACAATGTTTACCCGTTTCTAAGTTCCTTTAGATAAAAGCACCCTTACTCACAAATGAATTAATAAAAAGCAAATTTATTATGATTGTGCTTTCTATATAAGAAATAATAAACAAGTAAAAAAAAAATTGCACTAGATAAGTTAAAGTTCAGGCACCAAATCTCAGCCTTTTTCCCCTCTTAATTTTTTTGCACTGCTCTCACCATTGCACTCTATTTGCACATTACTTATACTACAGTAACAGTGCTGTGTGTTTGTTGCATTTATATGTAGGAGTCTGATAGGTACAAGCAGCTTTTTTTTGTTTGTGTGTGTGTGTGTGTGTGTGTGTGTGTGTGTGGCGGGGGACTCTTGCAATGAATGCTGGTGTCTCAGTTAAAAAGGCCTCGTTTCAGACCTCTAAGGACATAAAAATTATTGTTAAGTGGTGAAACACTATCTGTGAAACAGGGTTGTTGTTTGTTTTGTAAAAACTAATTCTGGAACTTTAGAAAGCCAAGTTGTTGCCAAATCCCAAAAGCATTCAAATCAAATTATTACTAGTATTGTGTAGTGTTTAAAGTACATTTTTGACAAAACTTGTTTTCTGGACTGCTGAAGCAGCAGAAAGTTGATGTGCCATAATTCCTTACAACCTGATATGTTTAATGATGCATATTGATTTAAACAATACGATTTCTGTCCCTGGCAAATGAGATTTAAATTATGGAAATATGAATTACAGATAATTCCTCCTCTTTACTAATAATGTGAAGCGGACATAAGAGCAAATATGAATAGATGGATTGTTTTATATACATATATATTGATTGACTTAAAATATTGTACTACCTTGCACTACCATGTGTTATTTTTCAATTTAATAAACTGATAACTAATAAAGATTGAGCATAAAGAGGAGTTCGTTTTTTTTTTTTTTCAGAATTCTATTGCCTCACTTTCTCATTAATCTTGTTCTAGTATTATTGATATTTGTCCTACTTTAGTCAGATATGTTTGATTAAATCCTGACTCAAGCTGATATGTATTTTCGCTATAAATACATAATCGGTTAAAAAACAAGTGTATCTGGTTCTAATCTTATGGCATAACTTAAACCCTTGTCTCATACTTCCTACTTCCTGTTTCAGACTCAGACTTCAAGGCCTTCACAAGCTAACCTGATTGGCTCATGCTGCTCTGTGCGCTTAAGCCCCACCCCGAGGTAAAGAACCATTGTGACACTGCGGCATCCTGAACATATTTTTTTCTCCTTCTTATCCGTCCCCATATAGATTCTATCCCATCTCAAGATAAACTGTAACGTCATTTTTTAACATCTGTTTTTTGCAGGTCTAAGGTCATACTCGCTACAATGCACTTTCTCTCGCCATGATGTGTTCTGTCTCAGAATGAAACCTTGAAAACTTTGTATTTGTTGCTTTGTGTTTCTTTTCTGTTTATAGCTTTTCAGAAAGCGAAAGAAGAGTAACTGGAAATATTTTGACAGCCAAGGACGGAGATATGTGTGCGACAAAAGATTGTGAATATTTTTTAAGCTTTGCTTTGGAAAACAGGTACAAAATATATTAAAATCGTATTCAAAGAATAGGAAATTATATTTACTCATTCAAAATGTTGCACAAATTCTGAAATATATTTTCAAAACATGAAACAGAGGAAATAAAGACTTTCTCTCTTTCCACTTTGATTAAATTTGTGTTAATCCTCCAATTGTTTCGAGAATGATAATGACACATACAATGAGAAATTGTCTCTTGACCAGAATCAGTCTGAACTTGATTTTCCCTGGGATGCTTATTAGAAACTCAAAAGGTCGGTATCTTTATCGGTACCTAGCACTCTTTAGAAAGGAAGATCTAAGTCATGGATGCTGAATGAATGCTTTTTCAGAATTTGTAAGGTGTTTGAAAATGAGGTCAGAGAAATTGTACAACTAACTGAGACATTGTCTACTGGTTGCTCATGAGAACGAGAGACTGGTCCATACTTTCATCAAATAACGGGAAAGCTACATTTGGTACAGCAAAGTTGCTTTTTTTTTTTTTGTCTTTTTTTGCTTTGAGCTCTCAACCTCTGTAATGAAACACACTGGAGTTGAAAACTCAACATTTTGGGGATCTCTGGCTGTGTCCGAACGTACACTCTAACCCCTAAATTCCTAAGTCACTATATAGAGCAGGGACTATATAGTGTACTATATAGTCAAGTCAGTTAACTTACCGTTCGGACAGATGATCACGGCTTTTCGTTCCCTGTTGGCCACGTGACTCCACCTCCCTGCACTTTACCTGCAGCATCTTTGTTATTTGTCACCGCTGTTGGGTAGCTGGGCCCATGATGCTTTGTAAGGAGAACTCTCCTCGCAAAGCATTCCGGGATATATCTGCTTGTCTAGTGACCATGGATGATCACTTTTCAAGGCGCATTGTGAGAAATGTAGAGTCCACTACCTTTTCTTCTACTAGACATTCAACCACTCATCTAAAATGTCGTAATCACTATATAGTGGTTAGAGCGGACATTCGGACACTGCCTCTGAGTTAAGGATCTTTATTCTATTGGAAACGCACAAAGTAAGCAAATTCAGCAAGTCCGTATCACGAATTGAAAGCTGTATAGAAACCAAAGAACAGTTGCAAGACTAATAATTGTATCGCTTATTACTCTTAATAATCGTTCAAATATTAAAACATTAATTATAAATGAAAATAAAAAATGCACAATTATTTAAATCATACTATAAAATAAAACCAACAACACAGGAATCATTTTCTTCTGCTGCATCACATCACAAATTTATTAAGATCAAGTCAAAAATACATTTTTATAGATATTTTCTATTTGTCTGCTACATGAAATAAACAACCATCAGCGTGAATTATTTACATTAATCACATTGACTAAGATGGCAAAAGAGTATGAAGAAAGCAACATCTTGGGTGGAAATAGGTAGATTTGTTGATGCCAATAGAAGGCATCCATCACTAAAAGAATCAGAGCCAGAGAGGAACTTACATCTTTAAGCCAAAGACACAGCCTCAGGGTAAAAAAAACAAATCGACAACATTGACACTTGACACAACCACATCCAAAGATTTAAAATAAACTACTTTCACGTTGACTTAGTAAGGTGAATGTATAGACATTTGGTTTTAATGTATGTTGGTCTACTTATCAATGCAGCAAAACGTCTGTGTTATCCAGCGGGCACTGAGATTTAGACTTCATGGTCACAGGGAGGTATATTGTCTCCTCTTTTGTAAAGCATAAACCTGTATTCAGACAGGCACAAATGTTTGAATTTTATGTTTTATGGCTGCATCCTTTTGTAATCAGGTGGGTAGCTTTTACGTTTGTGGTATAATTATGAATAAATGTGGTCCCATCTGCAGCCTATCAGAAACAAGCCACCACCTCATTATATTAAGCTGAAAAAAAGCTTTAAAGAATAATATATGAAACAAAAAATGAGGCTCTACATTTCTGTGACTGTGTATACCCTTGTCTGCACCTAGATCAAAGAGATCCAATAAATATTTCCTTTGAAACATGTATATTGAGGTGCCTCCATGTCTGGTGGCCATGTTCCTCAACTGCTGGATCTCACTGTGGCAGAGCTTTCAAAATGGCGTTCACCTCCTCAGCAACGGCTGTCAGCGCAAACTCAAACTGGTCCTGAACAAGAGGAGTGAAGGAAAGCATTTTGGTTTTGATTAACTTTAGCCATAAAGTTTGTAAAAGCAAGAAGAAACATGCAGAAAATAAGAGAAAACAGCTGGTACCTTGGTGCGAACCAGTCCAGGCCTCTGGTCTCTGATGTGCTCCAGTGTGGCTGCGATATCAATCTCCTTCACCCCTAATAGCAAGAGGAAAAGGGATAGCATCTGTATCAGGCAGTGGAATATATTTATGATGTTATAAAGCTGTTTTAATTGGTATTATTCATTATTTACATTTGATACTGTAATAGCGCTTTAGTTATAAAACTCTGCAATGACTCAATTTAAGTTGACCCTTTTCAAATAAATCAAATAAATAAACTGATTTTCTCCAATAGTTCATGGAGTTACCTCCACTAATATTAGGTACAACAGCCCCCTCTTCTGTCGCTAAATGTCAACTACATCCTTAGATAAGTTAACTCGATCACAACTGCGTTTTTAAAATGTTTTATTAAACATTTTACACACATGATATAAAGTGTGTGTGTGGGTGTGTGAGAGACTCACCTTTAGCCATGCGATTCAGCACCATGTCAATGAGAATGTATGTGCCAGCCCTGCTTGTTCCATCACTGCAATGACCAGAGAAGAAAACAAACTGTTTTCAATAAAGTTGAAACATTTATGCTGTATATTGATAGGTCATTTTTTTGTACCTGCAGTGCACAATGATAGGGCAGGATCGACCTCGGTAGCATTTATTCACCTTCCTGAAAAGAACAAACAACAGTAAAGGAAAAAAAAAACCTTATTAAAAAAGATGAACCTTATAGAATTATTTTGAAAAAGAGGATAGAAGCAGGTACAGTACACATACAAGGTGAAATCTGCTAGAAGATCATTAAATGTATGCTTTGTATGGGGCCTTGCAAATTTACCACCTGAGTTTTTCTTTTTTTCACATTTTATAGAAGACATGACATCACTGTGATTTATTGGGATTTCTTGTGATAGCCTACTGAATAACACACAGCAGAAAGTAATTACACGACTTTTACACATGGTTTTCAAACAGCAATGTGAGAATTGTGGCATAAATACATAATCAGTCAATTAGTTGAACAACCTTTCAAAGCACTTAAAGCTGAATGTTAAGCAGCTTTGCACCTTTGAAGTTTAGCTATTTGTCTGTAGAAAAAAAAGCTCAAGATCTTGAGAGCGCGAGAGAGATATGTAACAATTCCTTCTTCAAGTCCTGCCAAGGTATCTTAAATGGGATTTTGCGCTAGGTATAGACAGTGCCATTCCAACAAATGAATAGTTTGGTTTAACCCAACTAGTTGTATACCTGACTGTCTGCTTGAGATTGTTTTCCAGTTGGAAACAGAATCAGCTTCTCAGTCTCAAGTCTCAGATCCTAAAGTAGGTTTACATTTAAAGTTGCCCTACAATATTTTTCACCACAATTGAGGGTTTTATATATAGGCCAAAAAAGTGAAATAAATGATCTAATCTGATATGGTCACTTTGTCCAATACATGGCAAGTATTTAATGGTAAACTACAGGTTATGGAATGTAAGACAAGTCTTTGCCATATCAACCTGAGACTTTGGCCTCTTGGTTTCTCTTCTGATTGATGCTCTTAACTCTCATCGTATTAGTTTACATGTGGAATACATGTTTTACCATGTTTGTAGCTGTGTCATATCCTTTACAATTTTTATAGAGGGTTTGAGGAATCTTCTGCTATAAAGTAAATAAAGGTCTTAGTTGTAGTGTGAGCCTACAGAATTGACAAAGATTCCTGGATATGTGTTGAATCGTCTTCAGAAAAAACTTCACCGCTTTGCCTCCGATTTAAAACCGCTTTTGTGGATATTTTCTCATAACTTATAATTTTTTTTAAATAAATCTTTCTTAAACTTTATCCCTGACCTGTATGTTTTGTTTGGTCATCACAGTGGAGTTTGTGAGAAACTGCTCATTTAAGAAAAATCCTATTCATATTTATAAATTCCGGGACTTGTAAAATAAATAGATTGCACTGGAATTTTTGCAAGGAAAATATAATAAAAAAAAACAAATAGTTTGCTGTTTGATGCAACAGTTATACTGTACTTTGTATTGTTCTATCACAAAAACCCCAATTAAACACAATGCTTATGGTTTGAATATTTAAAAATCAATGTGTAAAAAAACTTTAGCAAGGAACTGAGCACACAGCGGCTCCTTAGGCAGGTTTAGTTTCATTTGGATCATTGCTAAAATGAATTCAAGGAAGCAGGAGGAAAGAAAATATGGAAATCTGTGAAAGGACCCATAAAAGTGATGATGAGGGAGACAATGAGGGGGCATGTTACGTTTTCTAAGATAGATGTGGGGATAGGACAGCAGGAGAGGGAGAAGCCTGCAGCAGCCAGTCACACCTGCCAATG